CCCTCTCCCCTCTCATGCTGTTTCTCTCTCGCTCGCTCTCTAAAAAAATAAATAAAATCTTTAAAAAAAAAAAAAAAGAAAGAAAGTCCAAAAACTATTAGACCACTCACCTAGACATCACAAAAACCATGACCTCTTGCTGCCCAAAGTTCACCACTGCTCAACAATACTACATGTGAGATCATTCTGCTCAGCAGCAGCTAAGCGAGGTTCGTAAAATGAGGAGGACACTTTGGAATCAATTTCTAATTCCAATACTCTCCCTCATGTCCTCAAATCACAAACAAACAGTTACTAGGCAAACATCTGTTTACTCACAAACAATACTGTAGCCATAACAGAATTTAAAAACTGGGCCCCAAACAACACTTGGAATATAACTAGATTACGAAACCAATCTTTTTATGTTCTTATGAGCCTAGTCTTCTATCTTACATATTTTTCATGTTTTTGTAGAATCACGCATCATTATCAGGTGAGATGACTGCCCTAGGTTCCACCAAACTGGCTCACAGCCAACTATTTAGCCATTCCTCTACTGAGCGTTTATGGATTCAGTGGGTCTCGTGGAAAGCGGACAGGTTTAACTTTGCCTTCTTTTAGTTTCTCAACACACCTAGCTCACAGGCAAGTCATTTGATCTCTCCAACCTCATCTGTGCAACACCCTCCTCAGGAACTTGTTGCAAGACAAAGAGATAACAAATGTAAAATATCATTCCCTTGTTCCCAATTTTTCACAGTGGTACACAATGTGGCAACAAACAGCTTCACACACAGAGCTTTTTCCTTCCACTGGGTTGTTTCCAGGACAGATTTCCCCAAAACAGATTACTGGGCTCAAGAATAATACTATTTTTATGACTATCAAAATTTTCTCTTTCCAAATGGCCATCAAAAAGATTGTAAAAATTTACGCTGCCCAGCTTGCCATCTGGACAGGTTCTGGAGGGCACGGGCAGGATGTGCAGAGGTGTGAGAACATACAGCATTCAATCTGGTAAGCAGGAGGCCAAGGACGAGCCATAACCACGGGTGAACCCTGCACTTAACACTGACCAGAGAGCCCACCAGCCAGAAGCCAAACTTGAGTCCCAAGGCCCGAACACAGCCAGCACCACGGACAGTGGCCGCAACCCGCACTCGGCCAGCTACAGACCACTGACCTGCCTCCCACAGGGTTCTTGGTCTCCTGCCTGTTCGAATCATACCCCTTGTTCTCCCTTCTTAGCCTCACCTGCCTGCTTACTGCTTGCTCTCCTATAACCCTGCATGCCCCCACCCCGATTACAAGCTCCATCCCCCTCCAACTAGCAGGTCTTAGCCACTGTCTCAGCAACAGCAGCTGCCCTCCCGTGCTGAAGACCTGCTGCGCCAGGAGCTGTCCCGGCGTCCATTACTTCATCTCCGTCACAACCGCATGAGACAAATTATTTCCCCATGTCACAGACAAGGCAACCAAAATTTACAGATCTGGTGTCTTATACAAGGTCATACATTCATTTAGTCAACAAACATTTATCGAGCACCCACCATCCTGTTAGGTTTGGTGCTGAGAACCAGAGATAGAGGAGAGGAGACACACGTTAAGCAAGTACATAAATAAAATACATAATTACAAACAGTCGTAAGACCCATAGTGGAAAAGGCCGGGTGCTGAGTGCCTGCTATCAGAGAGAATAACAGGGGTCTCTAGCGAGTTGGGGAAGGAGTTAGGGACGGCCTCTCTAACGAGGTCACATTAAAGCTGAGACGTGAAGGTCGAGGGGCCTGCCACTCAAGGAGACAGAGAAAGGGGGTTCCGGGCAGAGGGAGGAGCACGCGAGAAGGCCCTACGCATGTGGGTCAGTAAGAGCAGCCTGTGCGGCCCAAGCACAGAGTGTGAGGGAGACAGGCATGTGCTGACCTCAGCAGCGCGGGAGGAGCCCAGCACACAGGGCAGGGTCTCACGGACCATGGCAAGGAGTTAGGGACTTCATTCCAAGGTCAAAGAAATTTCACAGATGGACCAGCAGAAACTGGGCATTGCTGAGGCCTACCAATGTCCCTAGAACCGAGGGAGTTCTAAACAGAGTCCTCAGGTCAGAATGGACACACCAGCATTTATGCATCCACCATGTGCCAGGCATCATGTGAGGTGCTTCCCAAACCCTCAGGACCACTCTGACTCAAAGACAGGACTGGCCCCACTTTACAGATGGGCTTCTAGAAGCGACTTAACCAAGCTCATAGGTCAGTTAGCGGCAGAGCAAGACCTAAAGCCCCATTCTAGTCATTCTGCAGTCCATGTCGTATCCGTATACCACGGTGCTTGCAAAGCTTCCCAGGCAGCACCAATGGGGCAGGGGTGGAGGATGAGGGGAGTTCTTCTCTGGTAATAAGTAACTCACCACAGAGAGGTCGCAGAACAAATCTAGCGATGCAAACCTCCTAGATAAAACACTAAATTTGACCAACTGCCTCAGCTGAGACCAGGAATTGCCAACAAAAAGGACTAAGGGCCCAGATACGAGAACACCAGCACCTCAGGGCAGGCGAGTATGAGACAAGAGCAGCAGAATTTACCCTAAGGACCTAATCTTGGAACTGTAAGATGATATATGCACAAGGATACTCATCAAAGCTTCATAAGAGTGAAAAATTAGAAACAACCTGGAATGTCCCACAGGAATAGATTACATAAACTATGTTTCAAGCCCTCCCTTTTATTTTTTTTTTTTAAAGATTTTATTTATCTATTTGACAGAGAGAGACACAGCAAGAGAGGGAACACAAGCAGGAGGAGTGGGAGAGGGAGAAGCAGGCTTCCCACTGCACAGAGAGCCCGATGGCGGGGCTCCTGGGATCGTGACCTGAGCCGAAGGCAGACGCTTAATGACTGAGCCACCCAGGTACCCCCAAGCCCTCCCTTTTAATACAAGTCTTTGTGAACTACTGGTCATTAAATAACACTATCCACCGTACTGACAGAGATGGAAAGCTACCCATGCCATTCTCTGTCCAGAGGTCACAGAAAAAGCCAGAATTAAACTCTTCTATGTACAGATAAAGATAGCTACATGAACTGATATGCTGATCCAGGTTCTGAGTCTTCCCCGCTCACCCAAAAAATTCTGAGAGCGAGAGAGAGAAATCGACTGACTCTGGCGTCCAGAACAGGTCTCACCACGACAGCACAACCCTTTACGAAATGCTGCCTCTGCCACACCCCCGCGGGTCCGGCAGCCCCCACGACACCGTCAGCTAGGAAGGACCAGTAAGACAGGCTCCTACTGAAGGCCAAAATGATTGGCCAGCCTCCTCCCCTCAGGCCTGCCCTACCGGTGATCATCGCCTCAGCTAATGAGGATATGAGACAACAGATCATCAGTCTAAAGACCCAAAAGAAGGCAAGTGGCCTTCACATGCTAAAGAGAGGACCTGCACAGGATAGCGGAGGGTGGCAGGCAAGACTGCCCACGCAGAAGACCTGCCTCCCAGCCTGGGTAAGTCCGCGCCCTCCCTGGGCTTCAGAGCGCCTGCGTGTCCAACGAAGGGACAAGATGAGCTCCCCCAGATCTGGGACCCTGCCCGCCTTCTGACTCTCCTGACCACATCCCGGTGCTCCAGCATCACCCCACGCAGCAGCCCTTCACCCACAGCCCCCCACCAGGCTCACTGCTCCCTCCTCCCAGCACCAACCCTGGGGTCTTTTAAAAGCATGATTCTGGTCATTTCCCTCCCAGATTAACATCCACCAGCAGCTACCCTTCATCTTCAAGACAAAGGTCAACCAAAGCAGTGTAACACACAAGACCCCCGACCCCTGCCTTCTTCGGCCTCACTTGTCTCAGGACCCCTGACATGTCCTCCTACCAGCCAAAGGGAGCTTATAATTCCCTAAACTCCTTGCGCCCAGCATTCCTCTTGCTGCCCTTGCCCACATTGAGTCCCTGTGCCTGGGATGCTCTCTTGGTCCTCTCACCTTGGCTAATCCCCACTTGTCCCTGATGACCCAACTGGAGGAATGCTTCCTCCAGGGAGGCTTCCCTGAATTCCCAAGCCAGGTTCAAAGCCCTCCTCTGTGCCCCACAGCACTCTGTACTTACCTCTGTCACTGCACTATTTCCCTATCCATCTCCCCAACCAGCCTGTGAGGCCCCGACAGGGACACTTACCCGGTCTTAATCTACCGCAGACTCTCTAGTCCCGGGCACACAGCCTGGCACAGGGCATATATCGAAAATATTTGTCGATGAATGGATGAACTCTGAACAAAACCAGAAGAAGGCTGATGTCTTGCTAGACATTATAACAGACCCTGATGTTCAGATTCCCAGCATCTGAGACTAGCATAAGAGGAATCATGAGTAGGGGCGCCTGGGTGGCTCAGTCATTAAGTGTCTGCCTTCAGCTCAGGTCATGATCCCACGGTCATGGGATTGAGCCCCGCATCAGGCTCCCTCCCTCTCCCACTCCCCCTGCTTGTGTTCCTGCTCTCGCTATGTCTCTCTCTGTCAAATAAATAAATAAAATATTTTTTAAAAAAAGAGGAATCATGAGTTTCCCTTTAAATCAAAAGTATTCCAGCCCCTCTTTAATATGCATGCTGACTTTAAAATTAGCATTCAATGCCAAGAGCATTTCTTATAAGTATCCCACAGAAAGTTCAGACCACATCTACATACAGATCATGCACTTAGTAGCTCAGGCCAAATGGAATATTTCAGTGACTCATAAAGACTTGAAAGGGAGACACTGAGAACACTTGGTCATTTCAATTTCAACAGCAGAATTTGCTCTGGAAAATGCTACAGTAAAAAATATTAATGCCATAAAAACCAAACAGCAGCTGAAGGACTACAGTCATAAAGAAAAAACATAAATCCTAAAACATATCAGCGTGGAAGGCTCCCTCTCGCCTTCAAGGAAAACAGTGTTTAGGTCCTTGGAAACCCATCTAGAAAAGGGAGACTTGACTCCCGTGGCAGAGTAGAGAAAAAGAAGAGCAGACGTCACAACGGTGAGGAGGAGAAAGAGCTAACCCACAGAATGAACTCAGTGTTCAGCCTACCCATACTTCACATGCACGTACCCATTCAGGGCCCACCACAGCCCAAAGAAGCAGAAACTGTGATCGCACAGATCACAG